GGCTTGTCAGAAACAGCGTCGTTTGAACTACAAAAATCGGATCTATCTGGAGGGCGGGTAAAAAATTCGGAAAATCTTATCTGCTGCGAGTAAAAGGGGAGAAAATAGCTAAAATAAGTAAAAATAAGAAAAGATTGGTAGCTATGTAGTTTGAATTTTGTGTTTCTCTTTGAAAATGGGTGAGTTTTCTGAAAAAGCGGAATACTTATAAAAAAAAGTGAAATTTTTAGAAAAATCTGAATTTTTGATAAAAAAGCTGAAATTCAAGAGATAAAAGTGAAAAAAGCCGAAATCAGCTAAAAAGCGGAAAAATCTCATCCCTGATATATACATAAGATAAAAACACAAAAACAAGGGAAAAATATATAATTTTAAAGAGAAGAAAAATTATAAATCAAAACAGAAAATGAAATTTTTTTAAAAAAAATCACAATTAAGTTTATTGTAAACCAATCCTTTTCTATTTAATACATAACTGTAATAACTTATAGTCAACTATCACACAATTATTAGTAGTTATTCATAGTAATTAGTAGTAGTTTCATGACTCTACTTTTTAGAGTAATATTTTAGAATATATTTTTCTACTCTTTAAAACGTATTTAGATCTGAACTTGTTATCTCTAATTTTTTTAGCATCCCACCAACTTTGAGGTATCGAGAGCTTACTGTATATGAAAAAACTTAAAAGAATAAATCTTTTTTTCTTAGCCCTTAAGAACAAACAAAATAATAAATAAAATAAAGGAGTAATTTTTGCATGGAAAATTTTAGAAATCTCAGAATAACGGAACCTTTAAAAGGCATATGATTGGCCATAAGCCCGTGGGTTAACCTTTGATCAAAGGCTGCCCGTGGGTTAGCTCAAGAAAAAGGTGTCAGAAGAATGAACCCAAGGACTAAAGCTGGAAAGTTTCAGTTATAGTGGAAAACAAGTTGCAAACAAAGAAAAGTGAATAGGTAAAATAAATTTCAAACACAAGGTTGGGATTTAGTTCCTTTCTTGGTATAATAAATTCCAAGAAAAGAGCTAAACCCCAAAAATCATGTTTTGCACTGCTCCCCACATAGTCATGCTAGTCAGAATATCATTAATCAGAAAATGTCAACTTACCAGCTAAACCACCAGTGGCAGCAGAAAGACCGAAGTGCCCATATTGTGGCAGATAGACATTTTCAGCTCTTAGGCATAACTCATAATCATCATCATTATTGGAATTCCCATTATGAAACAAAATCTATAATCAAATCAAAATACATTATTTAACAAATTTTTTTTCTCTATATTTTCTTTAAACCAGCATTTAAAATTAACAATTAAGGTTTATGCACCAACATGTTTTACAACCATATAGGAAAGAAACTTAAACAAAAGAAAATAAATAATAAAAAGAAAATTAAAATATATATAAGAAAAATAGGAAAATACATATTCCATTAATTTACGCATATTCAATTTAATTCTTTTAAAATTCAGCTTAATTTTTTTTTTTTTTTAAATCAAAAGAGGAATTTTTTTCAGACAAATTTTTCCAACTCATATTAAAAAAAATGTCTTGTAATTTTGCCAAAATTTAAAAAAAAGGCTGTCAAAATCGATAATAATCTTTTGGGCAGTTAAAAAAATTAACAAAAATATAAGTTTTTTTTTTTTTGAAATTTAAAAAAAAAGAAAAGAAAAGTTTTAAAGAAATAGTTTATTTTTTATGTATGTTACTGCACATGAAATGCAAAACATTTTAAATTTCCTTTTGAATGAATGGAGAGTGATATGACCTACACGATTCATGATCTTCAGTAAAAAAATGAGAAGGTTANAAAAAAAAAAAAAAAAAAAAAAAAAAAAAAAAAAAAAAAAAAAAAAAGTGATGGGTACTTTGTATAAATGAGGAAAATCAAAAATGAAGAAAAAAATTATTTTTCAGAATGTTGGAGGTTCATGAATATGAATATATTACAAAGCTGCATAAAAATACTAACAAAGAATAATAATATTGTTTGTTTAGATAAACAGACAATATAGATAAAAAATTAAAAAAAAAAGACATTTGATTTTTCTAATGGGGCCATACAAATATTAATGATGTAAATTTTAATAAAACATACTTATTTATTGTCGGTCCCCCAAAATGCTTGAAACTTCATATATATGAGAAATCGCATGACCTAAACACTTCTAAAATTACAAATTGATTCTCTAAGTAATTTTTGAGAAATTTCAAAAAATTTGTCTGTATGGGAGTGTTTCCATTATTTTGTCAAACCCTTATATATTATAATACAATAAAAGCGATTCCAAATGAGTATTTTATTTTTAATGCATTTTTCAGGCTTGAAATATTTGCAAGGGGACTTTTACATAAAAAACAAAAGTTGTTTTTTACTGATTAATGTCAGTTACCTAGCTCTAGCTAAAAGAAAGCATTAAAAAGGTGAAATTAGTTATAAGGTACATTGCGTGATTTTTTACTGCATTTTAAAGCATAAAATACTTAAGAGAAATTTTACAAATATATTCATAATGAAAAACATCAGTTTCTCTGCTAGTTACCTAATTCTTAATATAATAAGGTATTGCCATGGCAAAAAAATAGTCAATTTGTTTAGTTATGAAAATTTTAAGGTATTTAGGTGAAAATATAGACTATAATCACAGTTTTTGCACAAACAACAGGAGTCATTACATCAAGTGTCAATGGTATTTTCTTAACCTACGTAAATTTTCTGACTTTTTCCCCTCTCCATAACTGTTTTTTGTGCCATTTTAAGAAATGCCATTATACTCACGGACAAAACATTTTTGTAGTATTCAACTTTAGCTCGGACAGGAAATGGTTTATTGCGGAAATCTCTTTGACATCCAGCAAGTTGTTGAGATAATCCATCACTGAAAACAATAAATACTTTTATTTTCTAAATATAAACACAGGCATTCATAACAAAGACCCTTTAACAGAAAAAGGCAATAGTAAGAGATTTAGCTAACATGCAAATTAAAACTAAGTATCGACCTTGTTTTCAGTCACTTAAAAATTTTAAATTTGAAAAAGAGTTGCTTATCGGGGAACAAAAATAAACCTTTCAATCAATAAACTGCTTATTTAAAAAATTCTTATTAAATCCACCTTTTTATGCATTGACTTTAAGTGATGAGGAAGTTCTGAAGAAAAAGACATACTCAGTAGACATAACTCTACAGACAACCTAATGTAATAAAAAGCATGCAATAACAAAGACTCAAAAGAGTTGGTCACATGGTCAGAATGTCAAACTTTTTATGCAAAGACCATGAAAAGCAGCACCAATGGAGATGCAGTGATTGCATTTTAGAAACCTGAACACTATCATAATTAAAAACTAGTCACCAAAAGCAGAGGTGCAATGAGAAAACATCTAGAGAAGACTTAAGCCAAAGAAAAATACAAAACCACATTATTTCATTGACTATCTTAAAACAAGAATATACTGCATCTGACAAAAAACTCTTAAAAACTTAAAATAATATATAGGTTAATTCATACACACAAACATGAATAAAATTGGATGACTTCTGTGTAAGTGTTTCTGATTTTTCATTTAAAAATTTAAATCTGATTTTTTTCTCAATATTTTCAAAAATTTTTTTAGAATTTTAATTTATAAATAAATTTTATAAATGTAGTTGCAATTGAAATACTGTTAAAAAAAAATAACAATACATTAAAAAATATATTACTGAAAAAAAAAAAGTTGTTTTATGATACAAATGCAAGAACCAAATTTATTTAAAATGGAATAAGAAAGTATTACACATCAACTCCTGACAAAGGGACTTAATTTTTGAAATAACAGAATAAATTGTGAAACCATATCTAAATTGCAGATTGACAAAAATTTCTTAATAGAATAATTTAACCATTAAAAAAATACCACACTATTAAAAAATGGAAATAAATTAACTTTAAACGGTTTTTTTTATGCCACATAATTATAATTTTCTTTTCAATTGTATATATTTAAAGATTCAAAAATATACTTGCAATATTAAAATGGAATTAGGTTTATAACTAGAATTTGTAGGATTTTTATTACCATTGGATTTTCAATATTTAATAAGATTTTCTAATTCAGAAAATATCCATATTCAATAACTAATTTTAGTAGAAGTATAAAAAAACATTAAATTTTCTTACATTTTTTATTTACATTTAGAGAAATTAAAAGACTTTATAAATTTTTCATTCTTGTTTCAAAAGTGCTGCAAATTTATTATAAACTAAGTCTTAACAAAATGTTGATAATTTAAATTTGTCACAACAAAACATTTTTAACACTAATTTTAAATCTAAAAACAATAAAAAATTCATTCTCACATTAAAATGCTTTGCGAATTTTTAAATTGACTACTTCTTTAAAAAAAGAATCAGTTAATTTAAATCACCAAACCCTGCTTCTGTAAGAGCTATTTAATTTATTTTTTAGTTAGTTTTATATTACATTTTGAGTTACTCTTAGGAATAAATTTCAAAGAATCCTTTTGGTTCTCATAAGAAACTCGGTAAAATGTTTTGTTATTTTCAATTTAAGAGACAAATAAATTTTATTTTTACAGAATATGACAACATTCTTTTAAAAAATGATTTTTAAAGTTCAAGACTAAAATAATGCATTTAAGGGTCATAAGATTAAATGCATCTCTAGGGCAAAAAATATTTACTCTAGTTAAAAACTGCAAATCAAACTTTATAAGGAATAAACAGGGGAAAAAAAATCTACAAAAAGGGCAATTAAATATTATTTTCTTGTAATTAACAATTCAAAACACAAAAAATATGCTAATTCTAAAATTTCATTGGTGTCCAGCTAGTCTGGAATACTCCCCCAGTACATATCTGGTACTCTGGGGATTAAAACCAATTTTTTTTTAAAACTGAAAAGCCTGTTAATTAATGAAAATTAAACTAGGAAAGATAATATATCTCCCTTTAAAATACTTAAATATATAATTAACTATTATTAATTTGCTACATTAAATTAAAAGCAAAAAATTTCATTCTTACCTCTGATGATCAAATGTTTTAGTTCCATCATTGTACATAGCCATGATATATGGGTTGTTTCCCTATACATAAAAATTTGTTTAGTTGCAATACAGCAATATGATATCATAGTTACATGGATGGAACAGCAGCAATGATGTTATTACAACACAAATTTTGAATTTCACTTATCACATTTTGCACTGTTGGATCAACCCACATGTTAAACAATTTTCTGATAATTATTTTTCACATATTAAGTCGTGTTTCATATTTTGATATTTTTAATTACACACGATACACTATCAGGGTGCATAGCCAAATCTTTCAACAAGAAACAAGCATCTTTTAAGTACTTTTTAAGCACTAAAAATATTTTTAAGGAATATATACATTAACAAAATGCAAAATAATTTTCAAAAACTTCACATGATTGTGATAAAATAACTAATTTCTGGCAAAGACTCTTTTCTTGATTACATAAGTCATTATAAAATGATCAAGAGATTTTTCTACTCAATATCAGAGGGTGAAAAATGAAGCCTGAAATTGAGAATATCTTTCAAAATGCAACAGAGTTGCACATGAGAGTGCAATAATCTCACCAAACTCAGCACAAGCATGCTCGCAAGAATTTCATCTAACATATAAAATGATGGGCGGTTTCATACGCCATTGGACCGAGAGTACACCGCAATAGATTGTGGTTGAATGAATTGTGAAAATGTTGAATAGAACAATGAGAAAACACGCTTTTACATAATATGTACCGAAAATCAACATGGTTAAGAAAAAAAATCTCATTTTGGAAGGAAAAATGAAGCATTTTCTAAAAACGCTACATACCCTGAACTATGAAGACACTTAAACTTCGCTTTTGAGTAATAACTATTTGCTATTGATTTATTAATGCAATGCAATGCATTGCATACATACAGACTATACGTATCAAAAATCTGAACAGTCAACAAATACAGTACACTCTAAACAACACAGTATATACAGATATATATTTTAAAACACATGAAATTTTAAAAACCTGAAATTAATTATGATGATATGAATTTTAAAATTGATTTATTCACATTAAATATTCACAATTTATTTATATATATCAAAATGTAAGGAAGAATTTTTTTCAATAGGTGGGAAAAAAAAACAACTTACTCTGCCATCATTATCAAATGAGTCAAAAAATACTCCCAAACCATTCCAATGATCATTACTTCCAAATACAGGGCCTTCTACACCTTTGTTGTCTGTGTACCAAAAGGCCTGAAAATAAAAAAAACAACATTTTAATACCGTTTACCACAACACAAACACCATTGAAGTAAAATATTGTATAGCAGGGCTCGAAATTAACGGTGGTCTGTTGGTCCGTGACCACTAAAATCGGAGTCGAACCAGCATAAAATAATAAACAGTGGTCCGCCGGACCACCATCCGCCGCAGCAGATCTCCGTTAATCTATTCTCGCAGCCGATCTATTCTCGATCTTACGAAACTTAAACGATCTTACTTAAAACTATTTTAGAGCTTATTCACAATTTTTTTAAAAAATTTTTATACAAAATTAATATTAATCAAAAAAATGCGATTTAAATAAAAAATTTATGATTTTTTTAAAAAAAAAAATCATGATTTTTTCAATCAAAAATTGTAATTTTTTTTTTTATTTGCAGCTAATAGGAACGCGTAGATGGACCAGTAAAGTTTTGTGCGGACTAGTAAAATGTTTTAGTTACTGGTCCTATGGACCATTAAATTTTTTTTTAAATTTCTACCCCTGTATAGTAAACCATTAAGACAAAGTTCAAGTTCTTAGGAATCATTCAAGTAACAAATTTCTTACACAGTTTGATCTCATTCATTAATATTCTACTAGTTATTCATGAATTTAAATATTTTAATCTTTTTACTATCCCATAAGAACTAAGTCTCTTTCAAAGCACTATAGTCTGTTGAATGTGGTCGTCTGACTCTTTTTATGTTTCCCATGAGATAATTAAATGGGTAAATTAATTATTAATTTTAAATGGGTTTTCATTATTAAATCAAAATAAATGTCCGAGCCATTACAGTCTATTGCATTTCATGACTAACAATATCAGGTTGCTTGTTTGTTTCCCGCTCCCCTGCAAATTTCAAAGCTATTGTTCGCATGGACTACATCCAATGTTTTTAATACTTGAAAATCAAAGGGACTAACTAAATAAATTTCACAAGAATCTAACATTTGCAAAAATTACACCTAGAATGCAAACTATATTTTGCTGCTCGATAAAAATAAGTTTGCTTCTTAACAACTACTCTTCAGAAATTCGAATATAATGGCTGAATATTAGGCTAAATAAATTTTTTGCTGCATCTGTATAAAAGGTAATTCAAGAACAGTTACAATAGAAATAATAAAACATAATTTAAAAAATAGAAATCTGAGCGACTTACAAAACCATCAGCACCAAGCCTTCCACGACCATTTACTCTAAATACTACTTCTACCTCCCACCAATCAAAATTGGTCTTATTTTTTGTCCAAATTGAACCTGAAACAGACACAGATTTGATTAAATGTACTACTGCCAACTACAAATTCAGAATAAACATGAAAGGCAATCAAATTTAAATCGAAAAGAGAAAGGAAAGGTTAGAAAGATAAAGAGAAACTTTGTAGCTACCTTCTATTAGAAAAATAATGCTAATTTCAACACTTAGTTGAAGAAATATTCAATAATAATAGCACTAGATTTTTTCTTAAAAAATAAATAAAAGGTGCCTACTTGATTTTTATTCCTAAATTATACTTAAATCTTAAAAACAAATAATATCATACTTTTCCACTAATGTTTATTATTTGAGATGCATAATAATTTAATTTCAAAATAAAAATCTTAGAAAAAGAATTAAAAAGTTTTTTTTTCTTTCAAAAAAAAATTAGCAATGATTATTTCTGACTTTTTGTGAAAGGTCCTGTCTTCATGAAATTGCCAAAAATCTACCTATTTTGTGACTTCACGACAATGGATTTAACTGATATATCCCATTTTGATGGAAAATAAGATATATCTAATTTTGTGAAAAATCATAAAAACCAGTTATTCATTATTTTTAAAATTTAAAATATTGTAGACCGGTTTTTTATAAAATCCAATATTATGAATATGAAAAAATAAGACCCTGTTTTTGTGGATGGGAAAAACATGTGTTTTAAGAAGTTATAGTTTTCAAATTATGAATTAAAGCTATTAAATGTCACTGACTTTGTTTTCCAAAAGAGCTATAAAATTGTGAGAGCTATTTTTGTGATAAAATATTTTGTGACCAGTCCATTAACTAGGGTTGGGGTTTTCACACTTCAAAAAGTGACAAACTGTCAAAATCCTGGGAGAAGTTTCTTTTTCTATTATTGGGAACATTTCATTAATTAATCACTGTTTAAATCATGTACAATATTTGCATAGTAATTATTACAATACAACTCATAACAAGAGAAGTTAATTTCTGACACAGAACATACCTTTTTTACTTCGTAAAGATGGAGTAATTCTAACCATTTCTTCACTGGCTATAGCATCTATATAGCAAACAAAAATAAAACATTAGAATAAAACACAAAACAACTTTCCAGTTTTAATTTTTTTTTTTTTTTTTACTTGAAGAACATGTAAAAAGCAATTCAACAATTAAATAAAAGAAAATTTAGGTAAAGAAATATTTTTAGAAAAATCGGAAGGAGTAGTAAGCGCGACCCACTTATGAGAAGATAATTCTTCCATTTAAAAAAATATATTTCTCACATTTTTAGCACTTAACAGACAAGGCAAAATTCTATACTGAATTTATTTCAAATATCAGTTCTTAAAAATATTTCAAAATTTAAAAAACTTAGTGACAATTGCCTTATCGGGTGGGTTTAACATATATCATAAAGGGGAAAAAAGAGAGATACATAATTCTGGTAACAGACACCCTTCAGCAGGACAGCACACAATTCAGTTTGTTACAGGATTGGCAGATTATTGCTTGGACTCCTTTATAAAACATATCCTAACTTGTTTCTAATAAAAATTAAAAAGCTGAATTGAAAAAAAAATTTTTATTTTATTTTTATCATTTACTATATTACAGAAGTAAATGTGTAGGGATTTTTCCATTTCTTTAGTATCATATAAAATTCAACTTTAATTTAAACAACTAAGTTTTTATGTAGAAACACCTTATATTTTTAAATTTTGCTCCACGATCTTAGATTAATATTAATTTGGACAATGATAATCTTTGTCTGATTATAACTAAGTCAGACAAATTTGGATTTATAAAGATAATGCTGCCAATGCACTCTACAAATTCTGCTACTGAACATACAATAAAATGAAGAATTCTTTAGTATGATTCTAGCTATTACAGCCAAACAAACAGAAGCCAAAAAATTAAAGGAGGAAGATATTGGCCATCTCTCACAACCCCATAGATATTTTTTTTACCACTACAGACAATTTTATCTTTGAAAATCATTTTAATTTTAAAATATAATTCTAAACATAGAAAAGTCTGCTTTTCAACTTTATATTTGGTAAAGTTTCTGTCTGGTCTAGTAATTTCTAGATTTTTTTAAAATTATTATTTTGGTTCCCTTGTTTAGGAAAAAAATATCTTGGTTGTGCATATGTTTATTATTATTATTTTTAAGTTCTCTCCTTATTAAGATATTTAAACATTCAAATCAGGTGTCACCAACTTATTATGGTTGATAAGTAGATCCATAGAAATAATGTACTCATAGCTGCCAACATAGAAAAAATCCATAGTAGATTTTACAAAAGAATATAAATTTCATGATAACTGTTGCATAATATACTAACTATTTAACATATAGGATTTTTATTGTCATCAAACGACAAAAACTTTATTACACTAATAACTATAAATGGTCTGCAATATTTTCCATTTATGATTGACATTAAATGAACTTTACATTGAAATGTTTTTTATTATATTAATTGATAATTTTGAATAGAAATAGACTATCAATTTATTATTGACTGCTACAAGATTTTTTAAAATTAATTTAAAAAGGGAGCTTTGAATAAAAATGAAATGAAAATTTTAGAATTTTTTTTTTTTTTTTTTTTTTTAAAATTTATTACTATAAATGAGGCTGTTTCATAAGTATTAGTAATACTTATTTAAGTATTCCAGCAAGGAAAAAAAAATGAGTAAAAATTCTATCTTAATAGACATATTTTTAAAAAACTTACTCAATTTTAGGGAATTTTATAAAATTAAAAAAAAAAAAAAAAAAGAAAATGNAAAAAAAAAAAAAAAAAAAAAAAAAAAAAAAAAAAAAAAAAAAAAAAAACGAGAATTTTTCTTAAACCAGTAGACATGGTAAAATTCAGTAAATCCAGTACAGTTGGCAGCTATGTGTATAAGAAGCAAAAAAATCAGGGTTGGCAGGTTTTTGACATGTGACAGTTTTTGACAGTTTAAACCACGTCAAAAACCTCACTGTCAAAAACCTATATTCATATGTGAAATTTAATTAATACATGAAATTTATATATTTTTTATAAAGGATATTGTTTCTAAATATGTTCTAGAAAAAATAAATTTAAAATTTTGAAGAAACACTTATATTTTGAATAGTAACCAAAATCTTGTACTTTTGAAAACTCACATCTTTTGTAATATTATGTATTCATTTTCATGTGTTATTGAAAATCTGCAGTGATATTATTAAGAAATTTATTTATAACCAAATTTAGTGTATAGTATAGATTATACTAAAAATTAGACATTTTTAAAGATAAACATTAGCAGTTTTGTACATTAGACATCTTTTAAAGAAAAATCTTTTTAATATTCTTTTAAATCTTCTTAATAATCTTTTTAACATAAGACAATACAAATTTAAGTGCTTTCTGTTAAATACACAGAGTAGTTAGTGTCGATTTACAGTATATTCAGCCTATTCATTTACTATGCTGAAAATTTAGTTTATCCAAATACTTGTGAATTTCATTTTGCTGAATACTATATAGTTTTGTTGAATATCTAAATATTCAGCTGTTGAATAATTACTTCTTGCTTTCAAGATATGCATTATTTGTATTCTTAATACAAGTGGAGAAAAAAAAATTAAGAGATAAAAATTGTTTTAAAATGATAAGTGTAATAATTATAAATAAATATAATAAACAATATGAATTATATTTATCATTATTCACAAATATAACTACTTTTAAATTCAAATTAACATACTGGATAATAAAGATATTCGGTATAACATTAAAAAAAAATTTTTATACACTTGTATCAAGTTTGTATTTATACAACATAACTTGTAAGTTCCTTATAAATATTAGTTATATGTTCCTTATATGTCAAAAATGCATAGTAATAAACTTTTAATTTTCTTAAGTATCAAAAAAAAAATTTTTTTTTTTAAAATATAAATATTTAAAAATATTTTGTGCAAAATTTTTCTGCACATGCATTTGAATATAAATTTCTGAGATTTTAAATCTGTTATTTTACCTTAATTTTAATTAAAAAATATTTTAAAACCTGCTGATTACCTATAGTATAATTAAATTTCAATATAATGCATGGCAACTGTTGGTAGTTTTGAAGTTTATATATTTTTTTGGCAAACTTTAGTTTTTGACATTTTTGATGGGTTTTTGTCGGTTTAAACCAGTATTATACCCTTGTCATGTCAAAAACCACTTTTTGACGTCAAAAACCCAACCCTGAAAAAAATAAATAAAAATTCTAAATAAATTTTATTTAACTGATTATATTTTAACATACTGAGCCGAGTCTCAATCTTAATGGTTTAAAGTATTAATTGCAAATTAACTGATTAAAGCTTATAAATATTTAAAATGAGAATCAGACATTAATACATATTTTCTTTAATTAAACATACCTTTTAACATAGTTAGATTCTAGACTATAAAATTATACGGGCTAGTCACAATGCAAAAAGTGTAGTGCCAGTGATTTCGCTTACAGAAAAGAATGTGTTAAATATGCCAAAAATCTTAAGACAGAAATGCAAAAAGTTAAACTTTCTGAAACAAGTAATTTGTCACACGGATTAAAAAATAATAATAGAGAATAGAAGATTTATTTTGATCATGAAGGCATATAATAAAATTTCCTACTATATTGCATAGTTCATTTGTGCAGATTTCCTCGTCAATCTATTGTACAAATTTTTTTTGGTTAGTTATTGCGACTCATTTCCGCATGGTTTTATGACATACATTCTCTAAATTTTTAATACATTATTACAGCAAGCAAAATTTGAACATGGGTAAAAACTGTTCACTGTTTAACTTTATTTCTAAATTTGTATTAACTTTAAAAATTATTTACAATATAAAATTCATTACTTAAAATTTATTTTTCCTAATGTTAGTAATAAATAATTTATTTTGAGTTATAGCGTGTTTGTTTCATTTTAAATACTTTTAGACAACCATAAAATTTCTTTAAACCATTCCATTTACATTGACCATGAGGATCCGATGTTTTGATTAAAAATAATTCAGGGTGTTCAGTTTAATTTTTTGTACATTGTACAAATATAGTAAATGCTAGATTTTGAGTGAACTAGAACTAGTTCTCTTATTTTCATTATTTACTAGTTCATTAAATATGTAACTTTGCTTAGTTTATGGACCAGTTTATAATGATTCTCACAAGTTCAAGTGACTAATCCAATACAACAGATAACCAAGTGACAAGTAAAAGTTAATAGATCTGATGTTTAGATTAAAAATAATTTAGGATGCTCTGCTTAGTATATTTGTACACTGTACATATATACTAAATATTAAATTTTGAGTGAACTAGAACTAGTTCACTCATTATTTTCAGATCCATAAACTATGTAACTTTACATAGTTTATGGACCAGTAAATAATGATGCTCACAAGTTCAAGTGACCAGTTAAATTTTCCCCACACACTTTCTAACGCTGTTATCTATTAATAAGTAGAAAAGTGATAAATGTGAATATCAATTAATAGATATAGAATTAGAGAATTTATTACCTATTGATCATGAATCATTTTTTCTCCTAGAGACTAGTTTTATTTCCACTCCTTACTATCTTTTGAAAATTAAAATGATATGGTAATTTTTAAAACATTCCATGAAACAGAGTTTATTTTTCATGTAGAATTTAACAATTTCTAAAAATTTAGAATGTTGTGTTCAGAATGAATTGAGCTCACCTAATATTTAGTTAAATTTTTAAAAATTTTACTTTTCATGTTCGCTTATTTTAAAAAGCTAAACATAATTAAAATAAAGAATAATTTTTATTTCCTCTTTTCTGTGACAAATTATATATTAATAAAAAAATTAACACTATTTGTTTTTTTATTATTAATTATTCTGACTCATAAAACAATAATGTATGCAGAATATCAAACAGTTGCCACATTCAAGATTTTAATATTCATTACAAAATCTGTAACAATTTAAAAAATTTATTTTTCATAAAAAAATTATAATATCTTAGTGAATTGTGCTTGAAATGTAAAAAATTATGATATTTAGTGACATAATTTAAATATTTAAGTGATTTGTGCCTAATCAAAATTGCTTCTATTATACTTTTATTTCTTTATGGGAACACAATTTTTTTAAATAATTATTGTTGTATAAATTTGTTAATCATGCTTAAGCTCCATAATGTTATTTTCTACTTTTAAAACTCTTTTATGTTAAAGCAGAATAGCACATACTAATCAATGTGATAGTAAAGAGTTAATTTAAATAATCCAAAATTTGAACCATAATTGTAAGTTTGCAGAACTTATCCTTTTTATGTGTGAACTTTTCTTTCTTGTTCACCAATAAAATAGTGGCTTTTTCTTACAGGGAAAAAAAATTATAATGCAAAAAAAAAAATTTGAATTTCTGCAAAGTATCTACTGTTTATACATAATTCTTACGAACAATATAATTTAAAAAAAAGTGTCTAAATATTGACAATTTAAGGATTATCATATAATTTTACTTAATAATTTTTATATCATATAATTTTACTATTTTTCGATGCAACTACTCCAGCAGAAGCTTCTATTAAGAGAAAAGATTAAAATTGTTAGTTTTAGAAATTTTTTTCACTTATTTAAATTTAATAGTGTATTATTATAGAGAGCTGTTATCATCTAACTTTATGATAGGGACAAGCAGTTCAGCATCTAAAAATAATTATATTCACTTTTCAAACAGTCTAAAATTACATTACAACAGTTTAAAAAATTATTTAACGTGAAAATTCACAAAAAACTTTGATCTTCACCATATGGCTTGAAGGAAGAAACACGAGAAATTGGAGGTAAAAAGTTATTTTATAACATTTAGATATACATATATATATATCTCAACGAAATCTACATTTGAATTAAATTCTAATTTTCAAGAATAAAATGCCTTCAACGTAAAGGAAAAAGCCACGTGTGCCATGAATGCGGGTCAGAATTTATCACTCACTTCCAAAATGCTCCCAAAACGGAACAGTTCCATCCTTTTGAGCTAAGTAGGGACCTTTAAAACTGTATTTGTATTCAAATTTGTGGTGCGGGATTTCACAGTAAATAAATATGAACTGAAAACAAAACAATAACAACGAAAGCCACATTTTTATAAATATTGGAGATGCCGAAATGAACTCCAAGCCGACAGCCTGTCAACAGTTCTGCTTCTAGTTACGGATTCTGCCTATGAGCATTGTTTACGTCAGCAATGGATTAATTAAACTTCATTTCAATGCCTTCTTATGCTTACCTTCATAATAAATAAATAAAGTTAAAAGCTTATTTTTCTATTTAGAAATAATGATTAAAAATTGTTTAAAATTTACTTATTGGTAGAGGAGGGGTATTTTTAATTTTAAACGAAATGAAAAGGAAACTATTTTAAGAAATATTATCAATGCAAGCTATAACCTGAATAATTATAGAGTGAAGCATACGAAACCTATTGCGCATCCCTGCATATTTCTCAAGAAATTCGCTAAAATTGAAACTGCGTTGAAGAAGTTTGCTAATTGTTGCTTGTATCTTTAGTGGGGGATCCCCTTTAGTGTGACGTTAATAATAAATCGAAAAGAAAGTTCCGTTTTTATAGAAAGGAAAAATCTACATAAAAGGAATACCTTTTTAATGTGATAATTTTTTGTTTTAAATCAAAGAAAACTAAGAAATAAAAGCAAGATCATGTCCGGCAATGAGCAAAAGCCGATGGTATGAGAATAGTTAGCCTCTATGCCCGGTTTCAGAAAATTATAATTTAATATATAAAATAATTTAGAAAATAATAATAATAATTTAGATAAAAAAATATAAATTAAGAAACTGATAAATTTAGCCCAGTTATGCATTTTGAAAATAAAGAAATATATCATTTTCAGTTTATACTGCTTATTAAAATTACATAACTAAATAATATGTTTTTTTATGTAAAAAAAATATTTCAAAAATAAATTTTATGCAAATCATCATAATTGTAACCATGTATTGGAAACCTTAATTATTAAGCTTGCTATCAGATGGACCATGTCATAGTATTTTTGTGCGCGAAACATATATAAATAGCCAGCAAAAATAAAATTTCGAGAAAAATTAATTTGTTGTCTAAAATTAACTGTATTTAAAGTCCAAAGTTTTATAATGTTCCTAAATTATTATGCTTAGTATTTATATCATCCTAAAAGAAAATTAGAAAAGCCTCTTCTGGCTATATGCATGCCTCTAGGATAACAGCAATTTTACTTCTAAAACATCATTTTACTATGACTGAAGATTTTAAATGATCTTTCAGTATTTAACAATTCTTGTCATGCTTTTAGTGTTAAACACTGTGAAAAGCAAATTTTCTTTTTTAATAGTACTTTTAAAAAGTATTTTTTATTATTGGATTCCATTTTTTTAATAAATTCATAATCTATTAACTAGCACAACCATCATTTGAGGACATCTTTTTAAAACATGTTTGCTTTATAGTTTTCACTCAAAATACTCTATACTCTGTGGATCTAAGTGCTCTAAATAAGTGAATACAGTGCTAATTTGTAAAATAGAAAAAAATATTAAACAAAAAATTCCCCTATTTGTATTAGACGTATCTATTTGTATTTGACATTTTTAAAAACATTGCTAAGTTACAGAAAAAAAAGAAGAAGAAATGAATAAATAAAAGATAATAATTGTGTAGTTATAAATCATCTCTCTATAATAATTCTAATTTTCTTTTTGGAATGTGAAAATGAATGGTTTATGTTTAATGTTATAGAAAAAAAATTTTTTCTCCATTTATATTTGACATTTTTTAACAACATTGTTAAATTACAAGAAAAGAAGAAAAAATAGATAAATAAAAATAATAATTGTGTAGTTATACATCATCTCTCTATAATTATTACTAATTTTCTTTTTGGAATATGAAAATGAATGGAAATTTTTTCTTTTTTATGCATTATAACATTTAGCAATTAAAATACTTACACAAACTAACATTTTCACACAGTATCTAAAGGTAATTTATTTTTCTTTCTATTAGATGGTTAAAGAATCTGCAGAATTTATCTCACAAAATGCAAAACATGTTTCCATAAGTGACATTGGAGTAGAAAAAGCTGCAGAATCTGTAAGTGTTTTTAAGTTATTTATAAACTATTTCATTCATTAAATATTTTAATTTAATTCAACAGTTCAAATAATCAAAAATAAGTATTTTTGTACAAATTGCTGCCCTGTTTCTCCAATTCAACTTAGTTTAACCCTCAATTTGTTATTTAAATCATCCAATTTGAAAAAAAAAGTAGAAAAATTTGTATTTTAAAAAAAAAGAAGAGGAGAAAAAAAAAATTAAATCAGCCAAACTATGTTCATTTAGTTATGCATTTTTATTTTTTAACTCTCATTTTAATGATTATAATGGTTATATGTACAAGAATTGTTAAAAAGAAAAGAGTGATATATTATTTTAATAACAAAATCAATCTAGGGTTAAATGAGGTCCTTTAACTTAACCCCATCACAGAGTTCTAAACGACCTTTAACAGATTTTTTGAGAACTATAAATTTCTAGAACAAACAAACTTCAAAATCTCGTTTTTCTAAGATAAGTAATGTATTTTGTTTGCATTTTAACAATTTGAACAAGAAAATTTACTTTCTCTCAAGCACAATTTTTGTAAATGCTTTTGAAAATGTAAATTTCTGTATGAATTAATGGCAAGAAATGAACCTAAAAATTTAACACAAGGAGAGTTTAATGTTATAATTTTTCTTTGTAGTTCTTATATCAACTTTAGCCAATCTAGAAAATAAGTTTTTTTCTAAAGTTGATTCTTTTTGAGGAATTCTGATTTGAAGTAAAGAGTATTTATATTTCTTAAGATTAATTTATAAATTATATTTAAAAATCGGAATAAATTTTGTGAAAAAATTTACACTTATACTTTATTCCCTTTTCATTCGGAATGTCTTTAGATTCTGAAAGGATTCAAGGAAGAAAAGTTTTCTTTAAAAAGCTGGAAACTAAATGAACTAAATCCTCAAGACGCTAATCACCCCTCTACTATAGATTGGATATTCTTTGCTGATACTCTGAATTTTTCCTTCTGGTCTAAAAATGAACAATGTAAACTTACCTTTCATGGAAAAACTTACACTGGTTACTGGTTCTTATGTGCTGCCATGAATAGAGCTATTGAGGTTTTTATATCATTTAATTTTATTTTTATTCTTTTGATCTATTAGGTATATTTAGCATGTATGCAGAATTAATTTAATTGCTTTCTAGTTTCTAAATTAATTTATTAGATTTATTGTATATTCTTTTAGAGATTCATTACTTATTTCTTTACATTAATTACATTTCTAACTGTCCCACTTACAAAACTGAACTAGATCAGTTTATATTTAGCAATGCATATCTTGCCTGCATATTCGCTAATGGCAATTATGATTTGAGGCAACACAGGCAACCCTACCTTCTCCAGCATCCCTAGGTTAAATATATGTACACATTGGTTTATCTGAAAAAGGCTACGGTCTTTAATATGTTTGAAGATGGAGCGATATTAATTTTATACAAAAAGTGTTTTTAAGCAAAATATAATAAATCTCACAAATGGAGTCAGTTGCATTAAATTTTATGAATGTTACCTAGAAAAACTTCCAATGGCTTATTGTTATTATCCAACTGATTTTAAAAAATATTAATTCAAAATGTAGTTTTATTTTCCGTATTTTTATTAATTCCTCCCCCCCTTTTTCAGATTTTTTATTATTATTATTTTTCTTTTTCCCTTTTTTCATTGTTCTGTAATTTTTGCCATGTTTTCCCTGCATTTTGAACTTATGAGTTCTATTTACCTGCAGCTTATGCACTGTAAAATAAAACTTATTGTTTTTCTTAATTTTCTTAGTATTTTTTTCTTTTTATCCGTTTTGTATTTATTTATTATGCTATATATANTATATATATCATAAACTTTATTTTCTATTTTACTTCTTTGCTGCAACTAGGCTGATGTCTAGGCTTGCTGAAAAACAACAACAAAAAAAATACAATTGTAGGAAAAAATTTTAAATGTGATTTTTTTTCTTCAATTTTAAAACACAATTTTTCCATTTATAGAAAATGAAATTGCTTAGAAATTATTATCAATTTAAATTGTTCATGTAATTACGATTCATTAAAATGTGTGGCTTTGCATTATGACATTTTCCTTTTCTAGAAACGAAGCGTTCAAAAAAAATTTTTTTTTGTTTCTTAAAAAATAGGTTTTAGATATACTTCTGCTTTGTGAACATAGCTCTGTAGATGAAATTCCTTACATCACAATTAAGAGAAAGCAGATGTAATAGATATTGAAAAAATTATGAAATATGCTCATATGAGGGGAGAGGGTTGAGATTATTTAAAAAATATTTGAACTGAGAAAAACTGAAAGAAAATTAAAAGAGACATTGTGAATTGTAGGATATTGTTCATTGCTTTGGCAACAAAATAAAAAATAATACCAATTAAAGGTCTCAACCTGTTATCGTGTGATCAGAGTAGGACAAAAAGTATAAAATTGAATGAAACACTATATTTAATTTTTTAATACAGAATTAAAACGTCATAGAAGTTTTGTATCATGTTTTTAAGTAATCACTGTTTCCCAAGAAAAATTTTGCTCCAATTTCATTGTAAATCCATTTGGGTTTTTAGTGATTATTGTTACAGAATTCTACATGGTTTTTTAATCAGAATTGTTTTGTTAGGATGTCATTACTGCAGTTGTTTTTCAAATCCTGAATTTGAAAAAAAATTGTTGACATTCACCTTTAATTTGCGCTGATTTAGTTGTAAGTTTCTATGATTATTTTATTGCTTTTTTGGTCTTGGATTGCTGCATAGTTTTTAAAATTCAAATATTTTTAATACAAAACTATTGTGACTCATGCATCTAGAATCACGCATGTAAATAATCACTTGTCCGTTGTCAGCCATATTAGTTTGATTTTACACCAATTTTATTGTAAGTTATTTGTATGTGGTTTTTCAGCAAATATTATTATAGGTTTCTATACGGGTTTTTGAATTACCAATATATTTAATGGGATATTATTAATTACAGCAGATGAATTTCAAGATGGTCATTTGAATAATAACATTTTGAAGCTCTTATTTGACTTGCGGCATTTTTGTCGTGCATTCATATGGTTCTTTTTATAATTTTTTTTTTGGTTGTTATGCCAACAAATACCTACATAATTTTTAAACAAAACTATTACAACTCATGAATCTCGAATCATTCAAGTGAGTTATCACCTATCAATTTTCAATCACTTTAGATCGATTTTGCATCAACGTGATTTTTTAAATTCCTGTTTTTTTCCCTTCGCAATATCATTATAATACACAAAATTTGAAATTTAAAAAATGCACAAAGAGAAGGAAAAAATTAGATTTCTCCATTGATTGTAGGAAACATAACGAAAATGTTTAAAAAAATATCATTCAAACTTGATTCTAGGACTGATTTTTTTCACCTAATTATTAAAATATCAAAGAAATGTCAGGTTGTAATTGAAAAGCTAAAAATAAAGTTGCCTCACAAAATTTATTGGTCTCGAATGGCGACCAGGTCAATGATATTCAACAGTTATGTTTTTGTAATGTTTCTATTTACATTGATTATCCTATTTGTATTTCTGGTGATTGATTTTTTTTTCTTTTGTAGGAGGGTTTTGATATTCTGTCTCCAAAGTTTTATTCTGTAGTGTCTATGGATACTCTGAAACATATCTTTAGATCGGATTCAGGAAAAGAAATACCCATGCTAGAAGAAAGGCACAAAGTTCTAATAGAAACAGGCAGATGTTTAATTGAAGTAAGTCAAAAACAAGTAATCAAATTACTACATGTAATTATTTATTTCTCTAAATCGTCCTATAAAAAATACTTACACCATCGTTAAAGTAAATCAGGCCCGTTAACATTAAGTTTGTTATCCTGAAGTCTTTATTATAAATTTATACATGAAATTTATCTTTTTCCCCCGAGTGAATATCATATTGTTTGGAAGAATTTTAGTTGTATGTCAATAGCTGGCAGCACCAATTTAGCCTTCCCTTATTCGACATAATTGAAAATGTGTGCAGATTTGATGCAAATTATTTTGATTTTATTAAAAACTATTGTGAGTATCATACCGAGTGAATATCATATCTAAACCGAGTGAATATCATATTGTATAGAAGAATTTTAGTTGTATATCAATAGCTGGCAGCACCAATTTAGCCTTCCCTTATTCGACATAATTGAAAATGTGTGCAGATTTGATGTAAATTATTTTGATTTTATTAAAAACTATAGTGAGTATCATACTGAGTGAATATCATATTAATTAGAAGAATTTTAGTTGTATGTCAATAGCTGGCAGCACCAATTTAGCTTTCCCTTATTCGACATAATTGGAAATGTGTGCAGATTTGATGTAAATTATTTTGATTTTAACAAAAACTATTGTGAGTATCATACCGAGTGAATATCATATTGTTTAGAAGAATTTTAGTTGTATGTCAATAGCTGGCAGCACCAATTTAGCCTTCCCTTATTCGACATAATTGAAAATGTGTGCAGATTTGATGTAAATTATTTTGATTTTATTAAAAACTATAGTGAGTATTATACCGAGTGAATATCATATCTAAACCGAGTGAATATCATATTGTTTAAAAGAATTTGAGGTGTATGTCGATAGCTGGCAGCACCAATTTAGCCTTCCCTTATTCGACATAATTGTAAATGTGTGCAGATTTGGTGTAAATTATTTTGATTTTATTAAAAACCATTGTGCACATCATATTTCTTTTTATGGCATGAATATTGTGTTATACATATAATACCCCTTGCTTTTTTACAGAGCCTTTGTTTATGAATTTGATAAAAGAGATTTATCTTACTCGCAAAATAAATGTAATACTTTTTCAGAAATTCGGTGGCTCTTTCAAAAACTGCGTTGAATTATGCAAAAATAATGCTATGAATCTTTTAAACTTAATAATAGAAAACTTTCCATCATACAAAGACGAAGCATTGTATGAAGGTAAATTAGGTAAGTTTTTCTAATTTACTTTTTTTTCTTGTTTTAAAAACTTTTTCATAATTTTCTAAAACAAAAATATCTAGTTTCTTTTTACAAGAGAGCACAGATTTTGATAGGAGATATTTGGGCTTGTTTTGAAGGACAAGGATTAGGATATTTTGAAGATATACATAATCTGGCTATATTTGCTGATTACAGGTTATTACATTGATTTATTATTTATATATCAACAAATATTTTTCATTTTTGCTTTGTTTTTTCTTTATTGAAAGGAATAGAATTTGTGGATTTCTTTTGTTTTATAGATTTTTTTTATAATATCTGTTTTATAATATTTGTTTTAAATTTAATAATTTCATTTTCATAATTCGATGTTATTTGATATCTAATTGAAAAATATTTTTTCTTGAACGTCTTTGGGACTTTTAGTGGAAACTATCAAGTTCAAAAAATATGAAGTTTTAAGACATTGTAAAGAGAACTTAAAATATGATAGTCACAGACATGTAATCTCAAAATCCCTAAATCATTTTCCAGAAACAAAAAACAATCTCTGTCATATTTTATAATTTTGTTAAATACTCTAAAGTTAGACATTAACAGAATTTGTGCATAGCAACACTTGTTTATCCGTAATGGCAGTTTGAAAATATATATATATATATATAAGCAGCTCTTTCATATGTTGTTTATTTGGTTAGTGAAACAAAAAATTTTATTAGCAAGCTATTTTTGCCCTGTTTTTTTTTTTGTTGCTGCAAGTAATGCATAATAAATGTTTATTTATGCTATTGGGTTATTTATCTTCCGGAATTTTAAATCTTAAAAATGACATGAACAGTGTTTGTTATCCTGTCTCAATATAGTCATCTTAAACTTGGCAACAAGCATGATAATATATAAAGTTTCCTTTAAAAAAAATAAACATAAATTTACAAATATATTTAATTTTAAATAATCTTCAAATTATATAGGATGTATAATTTGGGAAAATAATAGAGACTTTGATAACAACTTTCACGGTATCTGAGCAAAACAGTATAAAGCAATACAAATTAAAAGAAGGGAAACAGAATTGTATGAAAAAACTTAAATAATGTAGAAGTGTAAGTGTTTAATTATTTTTAAAAACTACATCTTCAACTTTTTTCTTTTCTTTTTCAGTTTCCCAATGGCAACGAATTCATTAAATTACCCTTATATCTGTTGAATTTTTAAATATTGATATGAATCAGTTTATGAGAAACCTACCTTTCGCTCAGTGGCGTAGCTAGGTAACTAAGGGCCCTGGGGCAAATTAAAAAATGGGGCCCCACTGCTTTTTATCAAACTGATTAGGTTTTATCAAATAAAAATATGAAATATACAAATACTTTAAAAATGCTAAGCTACAAAAGCTCTTTTTTGTGCACTGCAGGGAGGTAATAAAAATATTAAACAATAACAACATAAATTACAATTAATACTTGGTGTAGGTTTGGCTAATAAAACGAAATAGAGAAGATTCAAGGGTTTATTATATAAAGGTTGGGCCTACCAACTGACTAAATAATAATTATATTTACAATTTTTTCCTAGCTTTAGTTTTCGCAAAAGTATCAATGACTTCGTTTAAATCCAGGCTTGATGCGGTTTTGTTTTCAATTGCTATTAGCGATAAATGTCGGAGTCGAGTTTGGCCCATATTATTTCTTAAATAATTTTTTATTATTTTTAATTTGCTAAATGACCTTTCAGCTGCTGCAGAAGTGACAGGAATTGTAAAGAATAATAACATTGCTGTAAATACTTCCGTTAGGTCGCATTCTAGCACTCCATATTTGCTCATTATTTCTTTACATAATTGGTGAACAGTCCGTGCTTAAGTTAGTTGAGGTAAAACTAGGTGGTAAATATTAATAAATTGAAGTGAAAAACTAGGGCCTATTATATCTGAATATTTTCTTTGGAATTCGTCACACTTTTGTAATAAAGTTGCTTCATCAACATGTAATAAAAATGTTGGTGTTAGAAAATCGAATATATGACAGACTGCACTCATACCAATAAAACGTGTATCTAATTGAGATATTACTGTGTCTAGTACATTATTGAAAAT